TAAAAGAGGATACAAGATAAATATTTACATAAGTACGGTTGTCATATTTATAACCTCTAAGTGGTTTTTATTTTGGGATGGTATCTACTCTACAATATGTAAAGAATATACTAACATGTGGCAACTCCTAAAAAAAGCTTACTTGAAACTGGACAAAAAATACTAAACTGTTTCTTCGTTTGGGTTTTGTCATTTTATTTTTAAATTTTGTTTCGAGTATTGATAATCATATCTCCTTCTTTTCCATTACAATGACGAGGTTGCAGACTCGAGACAGACAGATCAACATGTTAGAGGTACGTTTGTTTTGTGCGCCACTTATAAACCTCCCCCTTCTGTGGATGATCTGTAAATGTAAGGAAAGGACTAAGTGGGTACAAAACCACTTAGAATAATACTACCGGTATATTAGACAAACAATACTACAAGCGAAGCAATATCAAATAATACCATCTCCATAAATGAATGCTATGTCACCTAGAGTAAGATCGAACTAATTAATCGACTAATGTAGAAGCCATGCCTTCACATACTCTTAATTTCAAGCTGTGTCTCTTTTTTCATACAGTAATATCATAAACAAATTACAGGAAATGTCCAAATCAATTATTTACAGACTTTCTGCAATTAGTTTTACTGCTTGTCATTCTTCCATGCTTCTTTTGTTTCCTGAATACTTTTCATTCCCAATTGTATTGGAATTTATTATTGATAAAATGAGATGCAAGATAAATGTCAATCATAACAAATAACTTTTTGATTAAATACAAAAGACCGCCCACAGTTTTGTTTGCTTGGTTTGTGAAACTGCATGTTAATGATATACGTAGTTCAAGACTTTTTCTTTTTTCTTTTTTAACAAGACACTTTCATTCATATATTACTGTCTCTTGTTCTTTTAACAAGACACTTTCATTCATATATTACTGTCTCTTGTTCTTTTAACAAGACGATTTTATTTATGTATTAAGTACTACTTATACACTTCTTACCTTACTTTGTTATCGTTCTATGAGTTTCAAGACAATTTGGAGACGTTCAATGTCGTATCGTCGATCAGAAGGCATTATTTTGTCAGCTGTTAATGTCGATTTATATATTCATCGATACACGTTATCAGGTCTTATAGTGTTGCAAATATCCATAATTTAATTTCGTAGCTAACAAAATCCTTCTTTGTCCAAACGTTATCATGATATAAGATTAACACAATATAACTTTCGTGCGTACGAATGTTTCATGCTGAGGGGTGGGGCCATATAATCACCATGGAAAAGAGACTTGCAAATGCTAATACAACTGCATACCTAAAATCATTTAATAATAGGGATGTCGACGAGTACTCGAGTATTCGAGTATCGCTCGGTAGAACCGAGTATCGAATATCAAAACTATACTCGACTAATCGGTTTTCTGTGAGAATATTGCTGTCTTCCTTATATAAAATTGATCTTCTTGGAACCTCTTTCGGAAAATTAAATAGGCATCACTGATTAACTAGTAAATAAAATACATTTGGTTTCGAATGCTGTGCTAAATAATCATTAAAAATGCCTCCGAAAATATGTGGGTTTTAACTAGGCTAACACTTTAAACTAAACATGTCTTATCCATTCCGTCACATCGGTTACGTTAGAGCAAATATTTTCGTCTGCAAGACTGTAATTTACAGAGTTGCAAAACCGACTGGCCCCAATAACAGCTGACAAGAAAAATTAATGTTTCCAAATAAAATAAATTCGTTGCATCCTCTATCTGGTGACCCTCAATAATTAATTAAACTTCTAATCCTTCCGCCTTTGTAAACATTAAATGTGTTTTCTTAACAATTGCCAAATACTATTGTTTGATATGGTTTTTCCTTGTTATAATTTTTAAATAGGAGTTCATTAGATTATATCAATTTCGTCCTGAATATGCATGAAATATTTGCCACTGGACGTTAAAGGGGCACTAGCTACGAGATATATAAAAATCTAATATATGATTTTTTTTTGTTCAATCATTAATGAAAGTGAAATAGTGAAATATTGATTCGTTTTTAGCCGCCAGTATGGTTCAATTTTGTTAAAATAAGCTAAGAAACATTGATGATGAATTATTCACTTGCAAGTGAATAATTCGACCTCATTGAATCCGTATTCATGTGAATGAAAGTGAAATATTGATTCGCTTTTAGCCGCCAGTATGGTTCAATTTTGTCAAAATAAGCTAAGAAACATTGATGATGAATTATTCACTTGCAAGTGAATAATTCGACCTCATTGAATCCGTATTCATGTGAACTTCAATTTGACCCCTTAGCTAGAGATGGATAACACGTGAATTGTATGTGTAAAGTTATTTAAAGATAAAGAATGTCAACATTGAAAGTGAAACAAAGGTAAATCATTTGATTGACTGATCCGATCCACAAAAAATCATTCTGATACAGGTAAAAACGATGATAAACATATATTTTTAATCTATAATATGAAATTAAACAGACCTAGAAAAATCCAATAGCATGAGTTCGCTTAATCTATTTATATCTTTATTTATGTTTACATGGCTTATATGGCCATCGGATGACTTTGGAGGTCAACTCGATAGTTAATTAGATGGCGTCTAGACTAAAATACACAGGAAACGAAGCCGCGTGTTATCATGCCCATGTCCTGTTAACTGTTTATTTTAGACTTTTATTGGTTTGGATAAATGTTTTACATTGTTATAAATCAAATATGAGAATTTGAGTCAAATCGGTGAACACGAATTTGACAGCAAGTGCCCCTTTAAGCAACCAACAATCAATCGATCAATTATATTAATTAGATTATTGTTTTTTTAATCAATTAGATTAAGTACTTGCAGGCTGAGAATCTATAACATATAGTAGTTTCAGTTGCAGGTAATGAGCTATTACTTATGGTATGTAATTTTCTTATCCCAGATACTCATGTAAATGGTTTTTCGTCTATTGAACAACAACCCACAGAATGTAAAATACGTATTTTTGTGTTTCCGTGTTGTAGATATATTCCCTAGCAAGTACTCGAGTATAGCTCGATAAAACCAACGAGTACTCGATTAGTAATTGTTTACCGAGTTGACATCCCTATTTACTATCATTAGCGGTTCCTCTTAAACTGATCTAATCAGAGACTATGGAAAACATTCAGTCAATAGATCATGACTGAGGGGACAGGGTTGAATAATCTTCAAGGAAATGAGATGTGCCAATGCTACTGCATCTACATATCAAATATCATTGACCTACCACTAGTGGTTCCTCTTATAATACATGTAAACAAGGTGAAAGTTTCAAAGTCAATAGACCATGACAGAGGGGTCGGGGCCAAATAATCTCCGTGGAAATGATATGTGCCAATGTTAATACAACTGCATACCATATATCACTGAAATACCACTAGTGGTTCCCTTTAAACTGACCGAATCACAAACTCATACGTTGTTGATGCCGCCGCCACTGCCGTCGTAACCAGCATACCTAAGTCTCGCTTTTTGACTCCATCAAGTTGAGACACTTATACACCTAAGTTCAAATGAAGTGGATGTAAGCAATTATAAGCAACTGTATGGCCTTCAACAGTGAGAAAAACTAATACCGTATAATTGGCTATAAAAGGCCCCAACATGAAAAATATGAAACAATTCAACTGAAAAAACTAACGGCCTAATTTATAATAAAACAATTTACGAAAAACAAATATGACAGACATGAACCAATGACAACCACTGTTAGAGTAAGATGACCAAAAAAGACCTTGACAGAATAGCCAGATTCATCTAGGTCAAAAACTTTGCCTGAGGGAGGTGGATAATAATATCATGACTATAACTCCAAAATAACTTTAATTTGAATAAAAAACAAGAAATGTTTTTACTCTTGTTGTTCTTGTAATACGAAAAATGCTACAAGTTAAATTTTATAATTTGTCCAAAACTAACAATACATATACCTTGGTCTATTAGTGACTACCATAGGTCACCCTATATGTTCTTTTGTTAGATTATGTTGGTAGTTTATTGTCTTACTCACTTATGTCCTGATTCCATTCCTTCATACTGAACTAAAAATAACATTCTAATGTTCTTTCAGATTACAAAAAGACACAAGTAAGGCTTTTTTGATCTGCTGTTGTTTTCTTTTGATTATTCAGTTAAAGGATGGTTTTGCCTCTATAAAACAGTGCCCATATGAAATTGAAAACTCAATTTATTCATACTTAGGACAACATACTATATATCTGAATAGAATTTCCAGGAGAGAAAATGTAAATTATGAAATGTCAGTAATGTCATTCAAATGGAAGCAATCATAAATTCCAAGACTTAATCAGACAAAAATGACTGTTTCAGGCCGAGATCTTGATACTAATGTATACCAGATATGAATCACCAATATCTTCTACTCTCTGAAATATAAACTATACACAGAGCAACTGCACCACCACTAGAGTAACATTCTAATGACCTGTATGTTGCAACGTTCCTCGCAGGAAAGACAAAACTAGGACTGTCAGTGAACTCACAATAGGATATACCTACCCCTTAAATTCGATTATCTCCCCTTTGACATGTAGGACCTCGATTATATTTGTTAACATACATCCTCATTTTGTATTTTACAATTGGAAACAGTTTCATAAATGCACTTTCAAAGCACATAGACAGACAGGCAGATGGATGCATGGACAGGGTGATTACTGTATACCCCAAACATTTTGCTTGTGGGTGGTATAAATATGAAGATTGGCTTCAAACAGTTCTTGACCTAGCCCTAAGGGCTATTCCATTAAAATGCATGTGGGAGGGTAGGAAGGAACTTTCAAAATATCCCTACAACCAAGAACCATTTTTTAGATAATTTTGCATAATAATAATAGACGTATACTGAAAAAAGACCCATGACCCACATTCAATAATTAAACTTCCCTTCCTACCCTCCCACATACATTTTAATGGAATAGCCCTAATTATCATCAATAACAAATATATAACAATTTGAATATGATGTTTTATTATCCTGCATCTTCTTGTTTCAATTTGTTTTGTAAGTGTGTTGTAATTGTCTCTGTGGGATTCTCTTTGTATGCTGGATGATCCAAAATCTGTTTGAATATTGATATATCTTCCATCCTACAAAATATTTACACAATAATGTTGTGTCTAGCATTGACTATGCAAAATGTGAAGACATGTATGTGCAGAAAACATTATTCTTTTAAAGGGCACTAGCTACAAGATATATAAAAAAATATAAAATATGATTTTTTTTGTTCACTCATTAATGAAAGTGAAATAGTGAAATAATTTACCGCTTTTAGCAGCCAGTATGGTTCAATTTTGTCAAAATAAGCTAAGAAACATTGATGATGAATTATTCACTTGCAAGTGAATAATTCGACCTCATTGAATCCATATTCATGTGAACTTCAATTTAACCCCTTAGCTAGAGATGGATACTGCATGCATTGTGCATGTTCAATTATTTGAAGGAAAAGAATGTCAACATTAAAAGTGAAACAAAGGTAAATCATTTGTTTGACTGATTCGATCCACAAAAAACATTCTTATACAGGTAAAAACGATGATTAACATTTATTTTTAATCTATAATATGAAATTAAACAGACCTAGAAAAACCCAAATGCATGAGTCTGATATCTATTTATATCTATATTTATGTTTATATCGCTTATATGGCAATCAGATGTTTTCGGAGGTCAACTCGACAGTTAATTTAGATGGCGTCTAGACTAAAATACACATGAAACAAAGCTACATATTATCGAGCCCATGCCAGGTATATTGTTTATTTTAGACTTTTTATAATTTGGATAAATCTTTTACATTGTTATAAATCAAATATGAGAATTTGAGTCAAATCAGTGAATGTGAATTTGACAGCTAGTGCCCCTTTAATTATACTGACTGCCATTTTTTAATTATACTAATATAAAAATAATCACAAAATATCCATTATTCAGGCTTCATATGACATTTTATTACATGCAGATGACAGTGGCTAAATTGTCCTTCAAATACTGTAAATTCAGAAATTAATGCTAGGTTTTAATTAATGCTAATAATGTGACTCCTTGAGTATCGCAATAATAAGAACTTGCATTCTGATATATGATACATACATATGTATGAAGCTTTTCCTAAAATAGCAATAATTCCACTTGCATTTTTGTTACCGGTAATTCTTCAACAATAAATGCACGCAATAATTTATGAATTTACAGTAGTTTATTCAATAATCACTTTGAGGATGTGAACACCCATCATACTAAGCTCTGTCTATTTACATGAACATATAATTGATTGAAGGGTACAAAGCATAGCATTAACAACAGCTGCACTTAATATCAGGCAATGAAATGTTTAACCCAAAATAATTTATTTCAACTTTATGCCAAAATAATGAATTTGAATAGGGAGTATATCTCTCAAATGCAAAGCTCTCATTCCTTGTCTGGATTTGCCTATACTTAGGGTCCTTTTTGGTTTAATCAGATCTGCAGGGTTTGTATTAGGTTTCCGATTTTCAAATATTTTGGCCTAGAGCATGACTGATAAGACATTAATTGTTGAAATGTGCATCTGGTGTAAAAAATTGGTACTGTTATTGTTGTTACTACCACTTGTTCAATACCTCAGATGGTAGACTGTTAGTCCCTGAGGGTATCAACAACCCAGTAGCCAGTATTCTGTCCTGGCATGAAAACACAGATATCATTTGATTGAAATTTGTAGTTTTAAAATTTTATAAATCATTTTACATTAAGGAAATTCAATATATCTCCTCCATGCAAATCTCTGATTTTTGTCTGGAATGCCTAAACTTTAGGTATTAGGTTTTGGATTTTGCCAATTCTAGTCAATTTAAGTCAATCTAGACCAGGATTTGAACACACAACCCCGGTGTTGGATATTGTTCATTGTAGATACACAACTCCGCTGGGGCGCAGCTTGATACGAACCCTGAACAGTTGGGGCAAGTATGGACACAACATTCAAGCTTGATACAGCACTGAATTTGGATTGTACAATGTAATTAAATATTTGACACAGCATAGGTTTCTGACACAGAATGAATGTTGTCTAAGAACTTAAAAAATTTTAATTAACCTATTCAAACCATATCATTATTATTTGCTTTTATATATAAATCAGAAATAACCAATTTAAAATGGAAAATTTTAAAGAAAAAAAGGGGAAACCCCCCCCCCCCAAATTTTTTGAACCCCCTTATGATTCATCACTCCCAAACTAAATCCCCGCCTTCCCTTTGTGGTATGGTACCTTGCAGTACAATTTCAGAGAGATCCATACACTTGAACACAAGTTATTGTCTGGGAACTAGAAAAATGCTTGTTTTTTGGCCCCTTTTTAGCCCCAAATTCCTAAACATTTAGGGCATTTACCCCCAAACTCAAACCCAGCTTTCCCTTTGTGATATGGAACCTTGTAGTACAATTTCATAAAGATCCATACACTTACACACAAGTTATTGTCCTGAAACTAGAAAAATGCTTGTTTTTTTGCCCCTTTATGGCCCCTAATTCCTAAAATTTTGAGGCAATTACCCCCAAAATCAATCCTAGCCTTCCCTTTGTGGTATGGTACCTTGCAGTACAATTTCAGAGAGATCCATACACTTGAACACAAGTTATTGTCTGGAAAATAGAAAAATGCTTATTTTTGGGCCCTTTTTGGCCCCTTATTCCTAAACATTTTGGGCAATTACCTCCAAACTCAATTCCAGATTTCCCTTTGTGATATGGAACCTTGTAGTACAATTTCATAAAGATCCATGGACTTACACACAAGTTATTGTCATGAAACTAGAAAAATGCTTGTTTTTTGCCCCTTTTTGGCCCCTAATTCCTAAAATTTGGAGGCAATTACCCCCAAAATCAATCCCAGCATTCCCTTTGTGATATGGAACCTTGTGGTACAATGTCAGAGAGATCCATACACTTACACACAAGTTATTGTCATGAAACTAGAAAAATGCTTGTTTTTTGCCCCTTTTTGGCCCTTAATTCCTAAATTTTGGAGGCAATTACCCCCAAAATCAATCCCAGCATTCCCTTTGTGATATGGAACCTTGTGGTACAATGTCAGAGAGATCCATACACTAACACACAAGTTATGTCTGGAAGGTACAAAAATGCTTATTTTTGGCCCCTTTTTCCTTAACTGTTGGTACCATAACCCCCAAAATCAATCCCAGCATTCCTTTTGTGGTATTGAACCTTATGGTAAAATTTCATAGAGATCCATTCACTTAAACTAAAGTTAGAGTGTGAAAACCAATGTGTCTTCGGACGACGATGACGACGCTGGATTACGAAGACGACGACGACGACGCCAACGTCATACCAATATACAACCGCAAAATTTTTTTGCGGTCGTATAATAACACAGCCACCGTAAAAACCATTAAAGTTCAGTGAACAAACGTATAAGTTTAGGGTTTCAAAAACAACCTCAATTTTGAGCACCATCACTGACTTTCTTTGGATGATATTTTAAAAAACGTTTTGTTAACCTATCAGTTGTAGTAAATGCTAAATTATTTTATCAAAATATGTGACGAAATTGTTCCTATACATATTAACTGGCATCACTTCATTCATTAACAAAGTCAAAATGATCTGGTCAAAGTTCTGGTTTAGCAGTATCTAAAATACGAGAACCAGACTTGTATAAACATGATATTGTCTTGAATGTGACTGAAAAAAAAACATTTTTTTTAAATCTGACCTACCAGCCCTACAATTATTAAGAAGGATGTATACTATGTTGTTTGGCGCAAGTTACTCACATTTGTTTTTTCCGTTTCTTTTCTTTACCGATTCCTCTGGTCTTCTCTTCTGTTTGATCCCTTGATGAAATAAAAATAAATTATGATTAAGCTTTGTATTTATTGAATTAAATCAAAATTATTTTCCCACACTTGTCAACAGCCTTGTGTACATATGAGATATGGGGCAAACATTAACAAGACAACAAATCAACACCACAAAAAGAGCCCCCAAAAAAAGAGGGCAATGATATGGTCTTCAACAATTGACAATTGTCAATGCCACATACATGTATCATGCTCTCAAACAACCACGTCTAAAAAAGTTAAATTGACGAATTTTAAAAATTGGCAACTGTCTGCAATAGTGCTTTGTTGAAGTGTTGTTCTTTATTGTTCACACACCATACCTAAATATTATTTGAAGTTATTCAAACTACTTTTCCAATCTTTCCATCAGTGATTCCAATTACCTAACTTATTTTAGATGATGATGATGATGAATGGCAGCTTTACGTCCAGCGGCAAATTAATATGCATATTGAGGACGAGAACATGTTAATGTTATATGAATATTTACCCTGCTAAGCCTGCTTTGTACTAGACTGACACACTAAGTCGGATTTTTTACGTGCTAGTTCACAAGGTAACAGCTGTCCACAGGAAGACATGTCACCTTACCTGAACACATTATTCTGACTCCAAGCCAACCAGTCTTTGCTCCTTTGCTCTTACTCCTTAATGCCACGTGCTATGGGGAGAAGCAGCAAATACCAATTTTAAAGTCTTCGGTTTGACCCAGCTGGGGTTGGAACCACAGACCTCAGGCACTTAAGGTGAACACGCTACCACAAGACCACTGAGGCGGTATACTTATTTTAGAAGGTAAACTGATATTCTGCATCTTCTCTTAACATGTCATTAATGATTTGATATGGAAAGGAGGAAAATTTTCAAAGGAGGGTGTAGTGTATTTTTTTATAGTTTCAATCATGACAAAATGTAAACAAAGACTACCAACATGACCAAAGGTCTGCCATTACCACAAAATATCCTAAACGACAAAAAACATAAAAGCATATAACCAAAGAGAACCTGTTAGCTTGGCTGGATTTTTTCATTAAGAGTTCTATGGTAGGAAGGGCATCTCCCATGGCTCCAATGTCACCCACAATAGCTGTCTTTTCTCTCTTCTTTCTATCCTTTTCTTCTTTCTTTGCTGCTTCAACTGCATTCAATTCTGCATAAAAATACATAATGTACCAATGGATATTCCATTAAATTGAGATTTGGGAAGTAGGAGAGGGACTTTAAAAACAACAAAGAAATTTTACATTCATCAAATGTACATATCACCATAAACATTATAAGTGACCTATGACCCATTTCCTAAAAAGTAAGATGCCTTTGATGCCCTGCGACATTCCATTAATAAAAATAGCCCTAAACTGTTCTTTGTTTTTGATTTTTTATCACTTGTTTCCTCTTTTATGGATATGTAACAGCGAGGCCGTATGCATTGAACAAATCTAAAATTATCTTTTTAAAGATATGATAAGACTTGCTCCTCTGGCCAGACAATCCAAAACAGCAACTTAATACCAATACACAAGGGATCTTTGCAGTTAATCAGCCTATAAATAGTCCACTGACCCATACTTTTTATTCTTATATTTGAAAATACTGTAGATTCATTTATTTTCGTGGGTACCAATTTTCAAGGATTAAGGAAAATTGTGATTTTTCCTGGATACTTGATTGCGTGGTTTTACAAAAGGCTGAATACAAACCTATAGAAATTTATACTTGGTTGGACATTTAAATTCATGGTTGATCTGCACACATAAAATCCACAAAGAATTGGTGTACCATAAATAATAATGAATAGTCACAAAGAATTGTTGTACTGCAAATAATGATGAATCCACAAATAATACTGAATCCACAAAGAATTGGTGTACCACAAATAATAATGAATCCAAAATAGCATGATCTATTCTACATTAATGCAAAGTTTTAAAATTTGTTATCCTTTTTAATTTAGACCCCCTATCTACCTTAACCTGCCACATTCTTTATATGAGCTACGTCAGATAGAAATCCACCTTATGCAAATTAATATTAATACATCTGTTATCCTAATTCGGGTTAAAAATCTCTATTCAAAGTCTTTAACGCTTTGAAAATTGAGTTGTTATAACCCTACAAAACAGACCAAAATTCATCTTTCATTTCGTATTTGAATTTTCCAAAACCATGAATCAAAGTCTTATACATGTACATATATATGTGCACTTGCAGAAGGTCAATTTCTATCCGATGCAGCTCATATTTTATCCTAAGCTGAGAGGTTAAAATCAGGTACGTGATGTCTGTCTATCATAACTGTTTTTGGTTTATTGTTGTAGTTAAGGTTTTCTCTATCAAGTCTATAGTTGTCAATTTCTGTGTCATTTAGTCTCTTGTTGAGAGTTGTCTCATTGGCAATCATACCAAATCTTCTTATTTTTATATTGAATTGTTTCTGATATCTTGAGGCCATTTACAGCTTTCTTCACAGTATGAATTTTGCTCATTGTTGATGGCCATATGGTCACCTGGTATTTCTTATATCTTTGTCCTTTGGTCTATAGATAGATGTCTTATTTGCAATCATAATAAATCTCCTTATTTTGATACAGAATACCCTAAGTTTGTGACACTTACTTTTTATCCAAATATCATGTCTAAGTTTCTTTTTATCTTTCTTTTTAATGTGTAAACCTTTCAAAGATTTATTAGTGACTTGACTTCTGGCATCGAAATCTGGTAGCTTCTGCTTAAGCTGACCCAAGTCAAGGTCAAGATTGGCAAATGGATTGTCTAGTCTTAGTTCTGGTTGCTACAAAAAATAAAGAATGAAATCTTTTAAAAAAATTATCAATTACAAAGTTCAACTCTGATAAAATACATACGAACACATTTTGATAAATTGATCGATATATTGTTGCTTTCTAAACAACCAGTGGCAAATATAATATGCATATTAGGATAATGTTCAGAAAGACTGGAAAATGAGGTAACTTTTTATTCCTTGAGCTCTTAAAGATTATTCATGTTATTAGAGAAACTGGTTCAAAGGCTGAATTATGTGAGATAGCTATCAATATCAATTTTCTTCACTACAGAGAATTCAAACTAGAGTTTTTCCCCATAATGGGACTAATATCCATTGCACAAGCTTTAAATTATTGCAAGGCAGCAGATTGAAATTTGATATCAATATAAAAAAGAAGATGTGGTATGATTGCCAATGAGACAACTCTCCACAAGAGACCAAATGACACAGAAATTAACAACAAGTTCATTTCTGATCAAGATTTTTGGCTTTCAGCATGTTAATTTTATATGATCATCCCTGTGTGTGAGTTTGACACAGTGTCACCTGTAAGGGCTGTTCCATTAAAACATACATGGCACCCAGGGAAGGCACTCTACAGAATCACCCAATCATTGATGACATAATCTTCAATTTGTTGAAGGTGGTCACTATATGGTAGAAGAAGACGAGATTTCAGAGTGCTTTCCCAGGGTCCCATGTATATTTTTATGGAACAACTCTAAGTAAATCTGCCATAATTATATATACTGACTCAAGAACAAAGGTTTGTACATTGTAATTCAGAAATAAATGTTTGCATTTATTATCATAAATCCCTGAGGACTGTCCAAAATGTGAGTTTAAAAAACAAGATACCAGTTATAATAAATTCATGCATAACATTCAAAAATTTTGAATGTACGTACAGTATAAAAAAGTAAAATAACGAAAATACCAAACTCCAAGGAAAATTCAAATTGGAAAGTCCCTTATCAAATGTCAAAATCAAAAGCTCAAACACATCAAACAAATAGAAAACAACTGTCATATTCCTGACTTGGTACAGGTATTTCCTTATGTAGAAAATAGTGGATTAAACCTGGTTTTATAGCTATAAATTTGACTCTGGTTTGCCTTCAGATTATCACATGTATTATTACAATACATAGCTGGTGTATTCTAACAAGAAATGATACTTCCTATAATTAATTAATGTGATTACCTGTATATCTGTATCCATCATATCTACAATTTCCACCTTGCTGTTTGTAGTTTTTACAGCTTCTGTATGCAGTTTCTTTCTTTGTCTTTTAACTTTACCCATTTTCTATAAAGTATAAGGGAACACAATTTATTATGATTGATGTTTGTATCAAAAGAGAGTATATTTGGTTTGATATCATGACAGGTATTGCAGATTAACAACTTTCATGTCATTTACTTTGGGAGACCTAACCAATATAGGGCTATACTCAATTGTACCTCAGACATGAATAAGTCATTTTGTTTTTAGAGGTCTGAATTTTTATAAATTTCATATGTTATCTCCCTTTATGTTATAACACAATATGACTTCAACAAGTCAATTAATGTTCAGCAAAAAATATTTGACCTAAATCAAAATGTTGCGAGTGTTGACTTCTTCAAGTCGATAAGTTACCAAGATTTACTAACTTCAAGACCCATGTACACATATAAAAAGGTCATGAACCAACATGAAAATGTGACAACAATAATAGGTAATGTTTTGTTTTCAGTAGAAAAGTATGAAAGAGAGTCTAAAAAAAAGAGACAATGTTTATCAACTTTCTAATGCAACTATTTATAACCACTGAAAATGAAAAAAAAAACTTATGTGTGAGTACAAGGACTTATGTTAGTTCTACGTCCTTGGTGAGGAAAAAATGTTATTTGAGAGATAGCTCGATCTTTGATTATTCTCAGAAAATGTTATTGTCATAAGTGATGTTCTTTGACTACAAAGTCAAATAACAGTCAGGGATATAACTCTATAGGGTTATTACAGAAAAATAACATACATTTGTTATTGTGGACTAAAAAATCAAAGAACTGTGATAACATATGTATGTTACATGTTTCAAAGGTACAATATACATCATTAGTTTAGTTAAAATGTATACAAGTTCTATTGATATTACTATTGTCTTTATGTATACTTAACTATAGAAAGATATAACAGTTCATAGTTTGCCAATTATGCATAGTACACCTATGTTATTACAGAAAAAATATGATTGATTGATTGTTGGTTGCTTTACGCCGCATTAGCAAGAAAAAATATGCCTGTAATAACTAAAGGGTGTTATCACAGCTACTCCAAAGCATTTGCTCATACATACATCATGCTTAATTACAATGTATTTTAGTTTATTGTAAGAAATAATGACCAGAGCATGTAATGAGATTCTGCGCAAGCTTCCCAGTAATTCTCAAGTGTCTCATATAATAAGTTACATTCCTTTAATAACTAAACCTTGTTATTACAGCTAAGTTTATCCCTTAAAAGCCTAGTCTCATTGATTTACCATGGTTAATCAAAAATGTATTAATTTAATTAAAAAATTAGTTATCAAGGCTATGCATTTAGTTTCTGTGCAAAGTCTCAAGAGTTCCCTAGAGCCCACTACAGATTAAAATATCTTTGATTTATTTTACAAAAAACAAACATATGTTTTTACAGATTTATAAAATTTAAGGAATAAAGAGTAGACAACTCATGAAAGTATCTGTAATATAACACATGCAAGTTATTTTCTGTTATAACCCTATAGAGTTATATCCCTGAATGAATAAAGTGTTTTTATTCTGTTTTATTATTCATAAATTGACTTAAAGAAGTCTGTCATTTTCTGACTTAGACAAAGTCCATAATTGTCAACACATTTTCTGACTTAGACAAAGTCCATAATTGTCAACACATTTTCTGACTTATACAAAGTCCATAATTGTCAACACATTTTCTGACTTAGACAAAGTCCATAATTATCAACACTTTTTTGATTATAATACCTTCAGTCAGGGGTATTACTTGTACAAGTAATTTTTATTTACTTGAAGAAGTAAATATTAATATACTTATATAAGTAAATTTGTAGGATACTTATACAAGTGTATTTTATTTACTAGTATAGGTAAATTATTTTTTTGCCTAGTTATGTCCCTAAGACATTCAGATTTTTTACTTGTACAAGTAAAAAAGTCATCCTATCTTCTTTCTTGAATTCTAAGAACTTCTTTGCTCTAACAGAATTTTGAATTGTCTGCCCTTTGCAGATGTCTTTACTAATCATTTAAGTGAAATTTCATGGACAATGAAAATCTCATTTGTCTGTTATCTTCAGAACACTGCTCATTAACAAGCCCCCCAGGAGCAATTTTTGAAGGCCTTGCGCAAATACTTAAGATCTTTGCGCAATCAGTTTCTTTGTTGAATTAATGAGATGAAACATTGAACTCTTATCAAAAATTATGAGCTAACCTGAGAAAAATTGTTAAAGGCATGATTTTACATCTCAAAACTTGAGAATTTTTGTGGGATTGTAAAAAAATTTTTTGAGAAAATTAAGGGGAGATTATTCAAACATTATAATTTACTTATATATAAGTATATTCTATTTACTTCTTCAAGTAAATAAAGATTACTTGTACAAGTAGTACCCCCTGACTGACCTTATCTGACTTTTGTAAGTCAGAAACAAAAAAAAGAATTGTGTTTATGTCTGAGCTCTGACTGTAAGACATCTTGTACAGCTTTTTATATTTATTTTTAGCTGTTTGTCACCAAGCCTTCCAATTCGCCTTTTCAGAATCTAATGCATTCTGGGTAATGTTTTCAAAAGCGTACACCAAAACACTGTGATTGGCTTAGAACTACCAAAAACAATTGAAATTCAACCAACATGACCATGATGACGAGGGTGGTAAAGGAGGGGTGCTTGCACGGAAAAAACGTGAAATAAGACATAATTTCATGTTGAACGTGAAATAATTTCTGTCATGAACGTTGCACGAAAAATAAAGACTTTGATGTGAACCTTTTGTGACTGATTCAATGTCTTCTTGTATATATAAACTCTCTGTTTTACTTGATATTCCCGATTTAGTATAATATAACTGGTTTACGGCTTTTAAAAAAGTATATATAAAGATCTTCTAAACTATGCATTCTTTTCTTGACGATCCCTGCCAAGTGTTTGAATTTTATTTGAAAAATACCGAGCACGCAAAATAAGCATTTGAAAATCACGATGCACGTAAAATTAAATAAGCAGAACACGGTGAACGAGGCACCTGTCTTGCACGACTGAACGTCAAATAAAAAAGTAAAAACACGTTGAACTTGAAATAAAAAACGGCGATCATGTTGCAGGAAAATAACCCTTTACCACCCTCGATGACCAATGATGTGACATTATTTTCATTTTGGGGTACGAACAATGAGATTACCCGTGGTCCTTCAGATTCTGGAACGGCGAATAGGTTATAATGTATAAATAACATATCCACCATGATAACCTTAACCCTAAACACACTACACTACACATGGTAATGTTAAATGAAGGCTAGATTTAAGGATCATCATAACAAATGACCAAAAAGGGCTGTTTTTACACCTCAAAATGTACTCTGAATGTGCACAGACACAAACGTGCATTTGGAAAAGTATTAAGGTCTAGCACCCACTAAATATATAAAAGTTGAATGCAGTTTGTGTTTCAGAAAGATACGATATTTTTAGTATTTTTATTGGCATTTTTTCATTCCTGCAGAGTTTTCCCTCCATGAACAGATGAATGAGTGATTGTGATTAATAAGACAGACGATGGGGTCATTGGGCTATATCTCCCATGTGTCTTATGTCTATGTCTATGTCTGTAGTTGCAGTAAAACGTCATTTTTTTCTCATTTTCAAGATTTACATGTTCTGTGTGATTCCTATCACGTATTCTGTATCCTGTATTCTATCACGTTTATAAATTGGCTGGCTGGATATATCTCCTAAGATTGTTCTCTTTTGGAATCCATTATATTACAAATAAAACAATATTATAAACTAAAGACAGCAACGCACCAAAACGAATTTTAAAAGGCACTAGCTACGGTTACATTGAAATGTAACAATAATAAAAAAAAATATTGTTACATCGGAGACTAATTGCCGGAATGCAGGGTTGGGTAAGGAGCCGATTAATTACGAATGTAACAATAATATTTGTGTCTACGGTTACATTGCGTTATTGTTACATTCGTGCACTTCAATGTGCACTAGCTGGGACTAGTAATATGTATTAAAATAAAACTTGAAAACTTTTATTTGAATTTTACAATATTGCATACAATTTTTTAAATGTTTATTTACAATGGCAGTTTCTACAAATTCAGTATGTTGTTTTGGGAGCATGTTTCAGTCCGACGCATTTTTTAGAGAAACCACTCTAACATGTCAAAGCAGCCATCACGAATGAATTATGCAGCAATGTGCACGTCTGTATTGCATACTGTACAATTCCATTCTGCACCTTACCTTTGTGAAGTTAAAGAAACTTTCAATGTCTGCCATGCTTCAGGTGAAAAATATTTTTTTTACTCTTGCGATGTTTGTATTTTCGTCCAATATTTTTGTTGGAAACACGTGAGTTTCATGTTGTCTTATAATATAATGTCATTGAAGTATCTTGAAGAACATCAAAGCAATTAATACTAAAAAACTATTTAAACGCTATTTGTTGAATAATAATAATAATAATCATAATTAACATACTATATAACAAAATATTAATTCTACTGTCCACCGCGCGCGGAAGTAGTCAAGGAGACATTATTATTTTTTCAGGGGTTGACAGGATACACGTACTAATCGTTATAAATTTTAACTTCACGGTTCTTGTGCAAGCAAATTTAATAAACAATGATGTTATACAGTTGGGTTTTTTTCACCTTACATAGGGCTTTACTTCTGATCTTATTTATGTGTACACAATTCTAAATCTACATATTTCACTTTTATCAATATTAGGAAATCCGATTGGACGATTCCATATATTAATATTAAATAATAATAATAATAATAATAATAATAATAATAATAATAATAATAATAATAATAATAATAATAACAATATTATTATTACTATCATTCTCTAGTACATATCGAAGAATTAAGCAACAAAACTATAGAAGGTTTAAGTTTAATAAATCTAGCGTACATTGAAGTGCATTAATGTAACAATAACGGAATGTAACCGTAGACACAAATATTATTGTTACATTCGTAAATAGTCGGTTCCTTACCCAACCAAGCATTCTGGCAATTAGTCTCCTATTTAACAATATTTTTTTTTTATTATTGTTACATTTCAATGTAACCGTAGCCAGTGCCTTTTAAAAAATCAAAACGAAGAGATATTGATAATAGATTCTCTGGATGATTTAATCTTGAAATAGAAGACTATTTTGATAATATATATCCGATTTTAACATTTGTACATGTTCGAACTTTAAACCAAAACTATATATAAAAAAAGTAAAAAATTCTCTAACAATAAAATTGATAGAAATTTGGATAGCTAGTGTAGAAAACAGTTCTGGGATGAGTACCAATATACAGACGGACAATAAATTAAAAACTTACAGAAAATTTTAAAATATGTTTATGTTTGAACCATTTTAAGAAGAAATCAAAAAGTCAGGCGAACAATTACAAGCTTTATAACTATAGCTGCCATGACCTTGAAATTAAAAGAGGGGTATATGGATTCTTTTATCTGAAGATTATGTTGTTTGTAACTTCAAACGTATCTAAGTTATTGCACTTCATATTTGAATAATTTAATTTTGAATGAAATTGGCTAAAAGTTTTTTTGTCTATCAGCTCCTAGACATAATTATTTTTGTCATGTGACCGTGAAGTCATCAACGTTTTTTTTCTTCATGATTTACTCCTTAAAAATGGAATTTAGAATTGAATTATAAGGAATGACTGTATTTTTTTTTCTTTCTGTTCGAAATAACCTACGCGGGTTATTCAGTATGCGTCACATTTTTTATGTTAGTTCTTGAAAGACAGAAAAAAATATTACATTCATTCTTTAAAGAACGAAACAAACTTCTGGGAAATATCAATGAAGTATGAAAAAAAATCGACCAGGAGTTGTCTTCCATAGGCTTAGGTCTAATAATTGAATAAGAAAAAGTATTTTCTCCAGGTCACAGTGTCTTCAAAAAGACTTAATGTTTTGTCAATGACATTGTTTGTATGTTACTTTGTTTAAATGTACTTCAATCACTCTAGTCATTATAATCATTTACTTTGGTTTTTGTGTAATGATTCATTTGATTTTATTCATCAAATTAAGGGCACCATGATTGGTTAATAAAAATATCGTATCTGTTCGCGTAAGTTTCTGATGTCACGATGCTTATTGCGTTACAGTAAGAGACAATTCTTCAATGAAGTCATTTAAGCCGATTGGCTGGGTCAACCGAAATGACCTTTCAATACAAAAAAAAAAAGAAAATGGTCAAGTTATGAAATACATTACTCTTTCACAATGACATAATGTTGTTTCAAACGCCAGTCTAAAACGGGACCTATCATTTATATACCAATGTATGTCCGTCCGTCCGTTCGTCAACACTTTGTCAGAGAACTCAAATTCGCTTTAACCAATTCTCATATGACTTTAACACAACATTAGAATTGAACGGAGAAAGCTCTCTTTCGATTTTTTTTTTATTTTTGGATTTGTCTTTCCAGAGTTACAGAACTTTGATCCTTAGGTGGAAGGCAATTTTTGAAAAATCGTACACTTACCGTCCAGTATTCCTGAATTGATTTCCTCCAAACTTTTCATTATTGTAGGAATTGATGAAAGAAAGCTTCTTTGTGATTTTTTTTTTAATTTTCCAGTGTGTCATTCCAGAGTTATGGAACTTTCACTGTTACATTCAAGGCAATTTTTTCACAAATCAAGCACTAACTCCAGTATTCCAAGGTTTAATTTCCCCGTATCATACCTTCTTTGTGCAGCTCTTTACTATTGAAGTTTTCTTTTCAAACACAACGTAACTACTTTTAATACGATTCCGTTTAAGAGATCTGTTGTTTAGTTTTAACATATGTTACAGAAGTTATGCTTACTACAATATCAACATCAACAAAGAAACAGAACCCTATTACAATTATTATTATAGTTACAGTGGACAAATGATAATAATGCTTTTTTATGTTGATTTGAAAATAGCAATAAACCAAAACCAATCAAGACAACAAACATATGGTATTCCTAGAGATTGAATGAACAGTGCAGATAGTATTTTTTGTGATAAAGTGAAGCTGGTTGGGTTCGCATGTCTTATCAGTTAATTGACCACATGCATATTTTAGGTGATTGGTTATCCCGAAAAAAAATGAAAACAACACGTTATAAGTTTAATGCGTCCGAAGCGCTTTTCTGGATTTACCTTCAGCAGGAACGCTCAAAGCCGAATATTTGAAAGCCAATGATGTATAAAAACCGAAAGAGTTGAAGATCTATATGACCAAAAGTACCTAAAAATAGCCAAACCCATCGAAGGTCAACTTTGCCTGAGGGAGTTGAAACCTCAGTTTCTTTATAATTTAAAAATTTATAAACGGACAATTTTAGAAATGTTTGTTATAAATCATGTCAGTACCGAAGTACTGTTTATTGAACTGATAATACCCCCAGGGACTAATAGTCCACCAGCAGAGGTATCGGAAGTGCGTAATTTTCATATTCCGAAAACTCTATATTGTTTGAAAATTATTCCAGGCAAACTCGCACCTGCTGTCATTGAAACCACTGTAAACAAATTAACTGTCAAACGACCAATACATCATTCCGTTGTAGTATCCTAAGCAAATCAGTCAATTTAAAACACATCTTCTTCTTCTTCTATTGCATGGATATCCTTCCATTCATGGAACACCACATACAGACTCTGTATGTGTATTGAAATGTGTCACACAATTTTTTAAAATTTATTTATACTAATAAATTTAAAATCTAAAAGGACACTTTTAAACAGTATAAATAGGGGGAATTAATTTTAAAATTTATATATGCGACTAAATTTTAAAAACTAAGAGGATACTTTTGTACAGTAAAAGTTAAGCGGGAATAAACTTAAAATCTACAAGGATACTTTATACAGTATAAGTTAAGCGGGAAGAATACCCTGTCTCTCCCTGTTTATCTGTCTATATACATACATACAAAAATTTGGCAAAGCACTGTTCAGTAGCCACATTATATACAATGTCAGTTTATGATCATCTCCTTGTATCCTATATATCTGAGTTATTACTTTAAAAGTCTGATTCTATGTGTATGAAGTTTATAGCATAGACTTGCCGAAAGATTATGGATATTGATAATGTCCTCCTTCTTGAATAATGCACAGAAGTGGCTACAGTCGATTACAAGCTGTACAATATCTTGTTTCTTTGAGAAAGTATTTTTCCAAGTTTGTGGGCCAATGATGTTTATTGTATACATTTTCAGTTCTTGAAAAGCTTCTTTTCTTTGCTTAAATAGCACATCATGAATTTTATTAGTAATAGAAGTACATTGTACTATCAAAATTCTTTAACATTTGTAATTTCATCTGGGACTAACTTTCTTTTATCTATCGAGTCGTATTGCCGTCTTTCTCAAAGTTGATCATAGTTGCAGATTTTTGTTGTTCATTATGGTGCGTTGTCATATTGGACTGCATATGGTAACTAATTATAGTATTAATAGTTTTTATAGGGTACAATCTTACGATATGTAAGGACTGTCGTCCCTTACAGAATTTGTTTATGTTGAAAGATCGTCCAGTCGTCATGTTTGACCTTTTTAACAAAAACGTTTTACTTTTTAGTGGACTAGCAACTGTGATTTCAACTAGTGTTTATGTTTTTTGGGGTCCTTCTCAATCTAAGCGAACAAAATCTAAAGGTAAATTTGCTTTTGTAAATTAATTATCGTGTTATCAACTGCCACTGGTTATTATAAAGTTAGTCTAGACCATCTGGACCATGCAGTTATCATCCAAGAAAAGGTAAAAAAAATCCGGACCAGTAAGAATCTTTTGATGGCTTTATTTTAGCCAACCCCCAAGGGTGACTGGGGAATAGAAGTATGGTCACCATTGGTCTTCCTCCGACCGGCAGTAAAACCCTTGCTAAAGTGGGGCGTCCGTTTGGCTGTGCGGGATGTACAAATTTGCAGTCACGTCCGGTCAGAATGGGGACGTTAAATCCGATGACTCGTGTAAAGAGAGTGCCACGCTCTTTGCACGTTAAGAACCCTTGCAACAACTCTTTGAGGGGTCCGTAGGTGACCTGTTGCAAGGCTAAATTTCTGTCCCTATCCAATATACCCTCATTTCCCGTGGCAGTCTGAATTTCTCCGACCTTAATCCCGGAAGCCCCTATTACAGAACCTACATATTGTATTTATTGTTAACTTGTTCTCGTCCTGAATATGCCATGTATGCATGAAATATTTGCCACTGGACCTTAAGCAACCAACAATCAATCAATCAATTATTTTAGCCATGGGCAAGGTCTCAAAATGTTAATAACAGAGACATCAATTAGTATATTGATTGAATTGAGGGGGTTATTGCACATGCATGCAGTTGTTTCTGCCAAAAATACTTAATCTGATTGAAATACAGATCCTCATCTCCACGCTTTGCTTAGAAAGGTCTAACTTCGCTCCATGCCATAAGGAATTGACTACAGCTCAGATATATAGCCTATTTATCTTCAAAAATACACCCCTACTATACCATGGTTACTCTTTTAATTTAGATAGATCTACCTTTTGAATAATTATGTCTGCCATATTGTTACAAGACACACAAATCAGATTTTTGAAGTGAAATTAAACTTTTTTTTTAGTAAAAATGAATTATATCTCAAAATTATATACTTTAATATCTATAAAAGCAGTACAAACCATATAAAATAAAGTTTTCAAGTGACATAAAGTCACATTTATCAGTTCGGGTACAAGTCAAATCGGTATAATAGAAGAATTCAAATATCGAAAAATATTCAACTCGTGACCGAACAACACTGATAATTAACTCATGCGCTACGCGCATTCGTGAATTAATGTGTTGTTCGGTCACTCGTTGAATATTTTTCGCTATTTGAATTCTTCGATTAGTTATTCTATAAGTAATTCTAAAAATGTATAAATGATCTTTCTTTTTATGATTATTTTTGGGGTTGGATTTTATCATTCATTACATCTTTAAAAGTAAATTTAAAAATTTATTGTTTAAAGTTTTCTCAACATTCTATGACTGATGTTTTGATTAGTTTTCTTTTCAATTAATTAATTAATAACTTTTATCAATTACATAATTAACATGTTTGTTGTTTTAACTCTATACAGGTAGTTATTGCTGTTTTTTCTTCAAAAACTTAATAATAAACAATGAAGCCATTATCCAAGCTGTTGTTTAATTATGAGAAAATTAGATGCAATAAAAGGGAAAACTATGAGTTCCTTTCATTACTATCACTAATCAAACTTGCATGCAAAATAATTAGCAATTAAGGTGGTTTTTCAGGAAACTTTAAACAGCATTAAACCAACAATCATGCAAAATGCTCAACTAGTTAAAACATGCATAAAAAATATCCAATACCTTGAATACACATTAAGTTGACCAAAAAAAAATACATACAGAACGAAATCCCCTAAAAATGTAAATAAGTCAATACGTGTTTAACCCCTTCTTTATTTTAATCATTTTGCTTAAAATACTGAAAAAAACATATATTAAACATATCTAACATGGGTGCCGAAATGACTTCATCGGGTGCCGATTTAACCAGGTGCCAAATTGACTAGGTGCCGATTTGACTATATCGGGTACCGATTTGACCAGGTGCCGATTTGACTAGAATTCATCAGTTCTCGGGTCAATATTCAGTTCTTGGGAGTTCTTTGAAAATTGTGGTACCTTATCCAAAATCCACTTGATTTTCTGAAAAAGAAAGGTTTTTTTGTCACTGAAATAGACTGCGAATCATAGTTTTACTAACTTGTTCAGTCCAATTTGAAGCATGAATGACTTAAATCGATCTATCAAGTGAAAAACATAAAAAAAGTGTCAGAAGATTGGAAATGACACAACTGCCATAGTACATGCATAAATTAACAAATTAAATGTACATAATTTACCAGAAAAATAATATGTTTTCTCCAAGTCTTAAAGAGGTCTGCGGCTTAGTTTTAACATATTTTTATTTTTATGCATGATATGTTCACCTTTTAAAGCCTTCAACATCAACAACAATTTTTCCTAATTTATTTTACTGCATGAATATGTACAAATATAACTTTAATTCACGTAGTTACCGCCTGTAACATCTGTTTCTTGTGTTGACTTGTCCAGGAGGAAAGACTTTGGCCTGCTGCTTCCAGCAGATCTAATGTTTGTTTTAGTCTGTAATTAATACTTTTTACCAATTCCTTCCTTAGAATGTTAGTTTACAAAATCAATATACCTGTAGTAAATTGACTTCTTAATTCAAAGAAATAAACACATGACACATGAAATAGTGGCTTGCAGATCTTTCGTTAATACATAATTTCACGCATGCATCACAACTGAAGATTGGCCAATCAGATAATTAGATTGTGTTTATCTATTTTTATACGACCGCAAAAAAATTTTTGTGGTCGTATATTGGTATGACGTTGGCGTCGTCGTTGTCGTTGTCGTCGTCCTGGCGTCGTCCGAAGACACATTGGTTTTCGCACTCTAACTTTAGTTTAAGTGAATGGATCTCTATGAAATTTTACCACAAGGTTCAATACCACAAAAGGAAGGTTGGGATTGATTTTGGGGGTTATGGTACCAACAGTAAAGGAATTAGGGGCCAAAAAGGGGCCAAAAATAAGCATTTTTGTAACTTCCAGACATAACTTGTGTGTTAGTGTATGGATCTCTTTGACATTGTACCACAAGGTTCCATATCACAAAAGGAATGCTGGGATTGATTTTGGGGGTATTTGACTCAAAATTTTAGGAATTAGGGGCCAAAAAAGGGGAAAAAAACAAGCATTTTTCTATTTTCATGACAATAACTTGTGTGTAAGTGTATGGATCTTTCTGAAATTGTACTACAAGGTTCCATATCACAAAGGGAAAGCTGCAATTGAGTTTGGGGGTAATTGCCGAAACGTTTAGGAATTGGGGGCCAAAAAGGGGCCAAAAATAAGCATTTTTCTAGTTTCCAGATAATAACTTGTGTTCAAGTGTATGGATCTCTCTGAAATTGTACTGCAAGGCACCATACCACAAAGGGAAGGCTGGGATTGATTTTCGAGGTAATTGCCTCAATATTTTAGGAATTAGGGGCCAAAAAGGGGCAAAAAACAAGCATTTTTCTAGTTTCAGGACAATAACTTGTGTGTAAGTGTATGGATCTTTCTGAAATTGTACTATAAGGTTCCATATCACAAAGGGAAAGCTGGGTTTGAGTTTGGGGGTAATTGCCCGAAACGTTTAGGAATATGGGGCCAAAAAGGGGCCAAAAAACACATTTTTCTAGTTTCCAGACAATAACTTGTGTTCAAGTGTATGGATCTCTCTGAAATTGTACTGCAAGGTACCATACCACAAAGGGAAGGCTGGGATTGAGTTTGGGGGTCATGAATCATAAGAGGGTTTAAAAAATTGGGGGGGGGGGGTTTCCTTTTTTTTCTTTTTTTCCTTTTTTTTTTCTTTTAAAATTTTCCATTTTAAGTTGGTTATTTCTGATTTATATTTAAAAACAAATAATAATGATATGGTAGGAGATACACACCAAACAGGATGTGTAAATAATTATATAATAAGTATTGTGCAATAGCAAGAAATTTTCAATTGCACAGTATTGCACAATAGCAAGAAATCTTCAATTGCACAGTATTGCGCAATAGCAAGAAATCTTCAATTGCACAGTATTGCGCAATAGCAAGAAATCTCCAATAGCACAATATTGGGCAATAGCAAGAAATTGTCAATTGTACAGTATTGCGCAATAGCAAGAAATATTTAATTGCACAGTATTGTGCAAAAGAAGATACTTCGTATAAATTGCTTATAAATTTCTTGCCCCGTTTTTAAATTGGTCCACATTGAGGTCCAAAGGGTCCAAAATAAAACTTTGTTTGATTTCATCAAAAATTGAATTGTTGGGGTTCTTTGATATGCCGAATCTAACCGTGTATTTAGATTCTTAATTTTTGGTTCCGTTTTCTAATTGGTCTACATTAAGGTCCAAAGGGTCCAAAATTAAACTTAGTTTGATTTTAACAAAAATTGAATTCTTAGGGTTCTTTGATATGCTGAATCTAAACATGTATTTAGATTTTTGATTATGGGCCCAGTTTTCAAGTTGGTCCAAATCGGGGTCCAAAATTAAACTTTGTTTGATTTCAACAAAAATTGAATATATGGGGTTCTTTGATATGCTGAATCTAACCATGTATTTAGATTTTTGATTTTTGGGCCCCGTTATCAACTTTGTCCACATTGAGGTCAAAAGAGTCCAAAATTAAACTTTGTTTGATTTCATCAAAAATTGAATTCTTGGGGATCTTTGATATGCTGAATCTAACCATGTATTTAGATTTTGGATATTGGACCATAATAGGTGAATGTCCAATTTAAAATTTTTAAGTTCTTAGACCACATTCATTCTGTGTCAGAAACCTATGCTGTGTCAAATATTTAATCACAATCCAAATGCAAAGCTGTATCAAGCTTGAATGTTGTGTCCATACTTGCTCCAACTGTTCAGGGTTCGACCTCTGCGGTCGTATCAAGCTGCGCCCTGCGGAGCATTTTATTATATATTGGAGTTGACATGGTTGAAACGGGGACAAATCCTCGGGTTTTACCATCATGACCATAGATAATAATACTAATTAAAACATCAATTTTTTTTTTGTTGAATCACAAACAATCGAGAATCTCACCTTCTAGAAATCTAAAGTGCCAGGATGTTTAAAAATATGGTATTCATTATAACTATTATTCTTTTTGCAAATGTTTTGTTTTACAAAATAAACTTATATTTTTGTACAAGTTCCTGTATCTATTTTTTCCAGATGTGTGTGCTGGATTACAGAATTTAGGCAATACCTGTTTCCTGAATGTAATTCTCCAGTCCTGGGCATCATGTAACAGTGTTATAACATGGCTCTCTGATTTCATTATCCGACATGAAAACCAAAGTAGTGATTCCTTAGCTGTCGCTGTGCAAAAAACATTGTCAGGTATAGTAACTAAGGCAAAAAACATTGTCAGGTATAGTAACTAAGGCAAAAAAGAAACAGTTGTGGTTCTGATCGCCTTACCATACCTAGTGTGTATGCTTCAACCCTAAACTTTTTTTTCAGAAAAAACAATTTGTAATTTTTGCTGATGAAAAAAGCTCTTCCTTTTGGGTGTACCAAAATTGTCTGGGTCTAATGAGCCCTATTTGTAGACAACTTTGCGACCATGATTGATAATAAACAAATGGCCAGATTATACAAAACTGACAAGTAGTGTGCTCACAGTTCGGTTGATGAAATGCAACCATAATACCAATGACAGTTTCATATTAAAAAAAAACATTGAACAATGAAAAAAATGCAAGCAGGCAAAAAAAGAAATACCTACCAATCCTATTTTTGTGGGGCATGCAATAGGAAACACACCTATTTTGTTTGGTCTAACCAGTATGGAGGTCCTCTAAGAATGTCTAATGCAAGTCATATTTACCTAATCACCAGGTACATTTGTTACATGTACAAGAAGATAATACTAACACCCATGCCAACCTTCTTGATTTATCGGGATTTCTCCCATGAAATTGTTGTTAAACTGACTCATGAAATCCTATTTCATAAACTATATATAGCAGACATTCATAGGAGAGAAAATAACATAAAGCATATATATACTCGTTAAAAATCATAAATTATCAGACAAAAAAACACTCATGACATGTACCGTTATAAGAGATGCATTAGCATGATTAGATCCTTTTGTGTCTAAAATCCTCAATGCAGACATGGCAGATATTGTTGCTATTATTTTTCAATATTTCATTTAACAATAAACATTGTAAAATCTCTGATTATACCATGTTAATACAATTATTTAATATTGTTTATTTTCAGCATTGAATGAGACCCACAATGACATGTACAGTCCTGTTAAAGTATTGGATGCACTTAGATATAGAAGATGGGTTATCTCCCATGATGAACAGGTTAATTTCCTCATTTAGTATTGTCGTTCTATTATTTTTACACCTTTGCTAAATGCTTATTAAATTTAAAGAATAAGAAAAGTAGCAGAATGCAAGACATACATAACATAGGGATGCTAATCTGACAGGGATGGCATATATCATGTATATGAAAAGTAAGCTTTATATTTCAGACGGTCAATGAAGGTAGACCTGGATGCTTCATACCTTGTTTTCTGATCAATGCCTTGTGTTATTAATTTTTGATCTGTCATATTTCCATTGACCTTGACCTCATTTTCATGGTTCCGGGACAGTGAAAAAAAATGTATAGTTTATTTCATGGATCAGTGATCATCAATATTAATTTTTCATAGTCAAGTCTGTATCTCATTTACCTTAACATGTATAAGCATTGTAACGTGTACATGTCCCTCTGGCAGGTTACTTCTGACCACGGCATGTTTCATTGGACAATGTTAAGTTTTTGTGGTTTGTACTTTCCTATTTAGCACCTATCAGTTAATCAGTTAGGAATAAGAGAACAAAAATGTTGGAGTAAGAATAGACGGTCTTGATGTGGTCATGTCTATATAGAGACTTATCTTTCTCCTTGCTTTTGTGAGCTAGCAAGATTCTGTTTCAATCTATTGATCTTGTGAAAGGCAGGTTTGATTATCATATAACATCACAGCATGTTGTTGTGCTTAATATTGTTTAAAGGTTGCCCACTGGACATTAAACATTTGTCCAATCATTTTTTCTCACCATTTATAAGAAATTTTTTCATGTCTAATTTTCAGTACATAAAATTTTTTAAATGTTGTATTATTGTCAATAATACAACTATCTAATAGCATTTGACCAGAGTCCAAATGATGAGGATATAAGCAACTATAGGTCACTGTGCAGCCTTCAACAATGAACAAAAGCCATATAAGCCCCTAAGATGACAAAAGGTGAACTGTTACAATAGGTATTTTACAAAGAAAATTACTGTACAAAAACATTTCATAGTCTGTTAAAGTGTATTGTACAAAACAGTGAAACAGCAAGGAATAGACTGTTCCTTGTAAGGTTAAAATGTCGATCAAAACCGAGACACAAAAATAACCCGATATAAGATTATTTATCTCTTGCTGTCCGACACATGTGATGCTGCATAGTATCTGACTACACATTAATCTTTTGTCACTTGTATGCAAGTACAACAAAATGTATTGTGCTTTTACATAAATTGGCTTATGCATTTTATTTTAGGATTCCCATGAACTGTTCCATGTATTAACACAGACTCTCGATGAAGATACTGCTAGATATCCCAGAGTTGTCTCCCTTTTTGACACTGATACATTGGAGGTTTGTCTTGCTTAGTTTTCTAAGAACCTGAATGTCCTTTAGTCAGATCAGACATGTCAGAAAAGAAAGTACATGTATGTTCTAGTGAGAAAAGAACAAAGGTACAAATGAACATGCAATTAGGAGAGAACTGTATTGTATTTTAAGCTCAGACGGCATCAATTGGTGATTTGATGGTTGTGAATGCCAGTAAACGGGTATTTGAGACCATCAAATCAACAATTGATGCCGTCGAAGATTAAAATACAATATTGTTATCTCCATTCTAATGAAACTGACAGAATACAACGTCAAATCATACATTCAAAATCTGTCAAACGTCGTCTGCGCTTGAAAATTGGTGACGTTATCCAATCAAAATGAACGTTACAAACGATGTTGCATTAGAATTTATAATTACTAGTTAAAGAATAACAACACCATGACTGAAAATGATGAATCAACAACATACCACAAAACAATACATAGGGAAATAAACAACAACTCACATGGAACTTGGGATTAAGTTATGTGCTCTGGAATGTTAAACAGTGCCTGCTCCACTGGTTTCACCTGTCGTGTTACTCATGACAAATAAAAATGTAAAAGTTGCAAAGTTGTGAAAGTAACATTCAATGATATCAAAAATGTAGAAAGGAGTGTAGAATAGACCTTATCGCTATTTGGGAATCTGCAACACTTGATCCGAAAATTTGTGACACTTGAACTTTTGAGGTGATACAACAAACACTTTTCCTTTGTGGTGTCAGACATTTTCTCTTGTGATGTCAAAATTTTACAGGAACCTCTGTGATGTCCAGTAATGGCAGACAAATAGCTCTTAGGTGTATGATGCTTATGACAAGTGGGACATAGCTATGGTCATGTGACACTGATATAAAGATCATCCTGATTATGATGGCTTCTGTAAAACATTCACTTAAAAGCATGACAACTCTATTTTAAGAACAACAAATAAAGAACCACTCAATTCAATAGTTACCTCATTAATAGCTGCAATCTCTCAAGGAAATAATGATAGGAAACTAGATTTTAAGAAGTATTTGATGAAGTGTAAGTTTTGCTTACACTTGCTCTAAATTTCGGACACCCAAAAACAATTTTCATGACTTACTGTAAACCAACTAATTTTTCGTGAGCGATTTATTTTCACATCTTTCGCGAGTAGAATAATAACTCGAATATAATCGTCACGAATATGTAAAACTTGAATCTTTCCTCATTTAACTACATCAAGCAAATTTGTAAACCGCGAAATTAAATCGCTGCAAAATGGGCTAGGAAGGGCTAAAAGCGAAATAAAGTATCCGCGAAAATAAGTTGGTTTACAGTAATGATTTATAGCTATATTACTAAAAGCAGACAATTAATAAACAGATATACTAATATTTTGAACAAGAGAACGAGATTTCACAGCTATTTTATAAGTGAATATGCTGATGATGGTAATTTTATTATTTCTGTAGAATTCTGATGTTGTATACCAATCTGAGAAACATGCTTTGTCAAGAACAAAAGGCTTACTACCTGTTTTACCTCACAGAGAAATGGAACAACCCTTTAGAGGATTACTGGCCAGTCAGATGGAATGTCAGAAGTGTGGATATAGGAATCCTATCAAATATGATGCGTTTGATAGCTTATCATTAAATCTGCCATCCATATCAATGGTAGTAAATTATTTACTATTTCAGGGAAAACAGGAAAGGGCTGTTCCAGATTTAAGTGCATGGGGGGGGGGGGGGGGGGGGGGGGGGAATAGGAGACACTCATATTATTAAATTGTGGGTGGTTGCATTTTCTTTAGAATTTTGTGGGAATTGAAAGTAAAATGAAAATTTTATTATTTTGGGTGGTTGAGGTAAAAAAAAAAGTGCCTCCCATCTCACTTATGCTTTTCAGTTAAACGTCAAAAATGATATTTAAACTAATTTTTATGATAAACAATTTATGCAATCTTTATATCATCATGGTTGCTGACATTTTCATGGTCACAGTACTCTGTTTTATAGTCTATTCCATTCATTCTCTTCATGTACTCCAGCTTCCTTCACCAATAAAAAAATTATTGCCATGATATAGCCATAAAAGTGGTGATAAACACCAACAAACAAAGCAAGCTATTCTACTAATAAAATACAACCCACCCAGGAGGGTGCACTTAAAGTAAGGTAGCTACACATAGAAGCAATTTCAGCACTTTTTCATGCAGTTATCTTCTCAAATTGCTGCAATGAATAATTTCCAAGGAAATTAATTTTGAAGTTTATCTCTTATGATATTATGTCTTTTATTTTATTTAGGCAAACCACTGATACTTCAGGACGGGGTTGCTTGAAATTTTTATCCTTTGAATAAAACATGATGAACTCAGTGTAAGTTATCCAGTGGATAACTCTTATCCATTGGTCAACTGTTTTGAGAAACTAAGTCCTGGTTATTGCAATTAAAAAGAATTCATATTTTTTGTTTGTACTTGACAGGGAGCACTTACATTAGAGAGAATGCTTCAGCGTTACATTAGTGAGGAAACAGTCCATGATATTGAGTGTATAGGTTGTAGTAAAAACAGGAAACCAGTCATTAAAACCACATTTAAGAAAAAGCTGACAATAGGAAAGGTATAATTCTATTAGCCTGATTAAATGATTAAACAGCATAAATCAATAGATTGGATAGACATGTAACATCCTGTGGTATCATGGGTTTAAAAATCCACTAGCCAGACGCCCAGGACTAGAACATGTAAACCTTTGGCAATCAAAACTTGTCATCCAATATGCCCAACAGACTAGTAAAATAAATTCTTGGCGTTAACAGTCAGGGGTACTACTTATATAAGTGATTTTATTATCACCTATATCAGTGATTTTATAAATTCAGTTATCACCTATTAAAGTGATTTTGGTGTTTCCTTCGATCTTCAAATGCTAACTCTATTAAATTTCCATATTTTGACAAATTTTTCCTTAAATTTCTTACATAGATAAATTATCCCTTTCTCTTGTATATTAATTTCACCAGTGCGCTTGGACAGTAAGTAAGTGCACTAAAGTTTTTAAAAGTAACCTTGGGAATTTTTCTGTAATCAGATACAGTGGAACCTCGTTGTGTCAAAGTCCAAGGGACCTGATCAAAGTATTTGACTCATCCGAGGTTCGACTCATCCAAGGTCGATTGTGTTGTCATAAATTTGGAATGCATGAAATACGGTATGAGATTTGTGTAAACTAGATACAATGAACAGTGTGCCTTTTTTTCGATATGACACTTTATGATTGTGTATTCAATCTCCATTTTGGTACTTCGTAATAATTAAACACACAAGTACAGATACAAATCGATCACAAATAAAATCAATAGTATACATGTACACAAATATTTACAAAGGTCAGTCACTATAAATTATGAAATCCCTCGCGGCACGAAATAAGTTCTGAACAGTCTCTGATGAGGTCGTCTGCTTTACATAACATTATCATAAATTTATTATAATTGTCCTAATCCTTTTATTTATTGTAATTGTAATTAATGTGTTTTAAATCTAAAGTTTCATTTAATCTCGGTTTGGGTCATTTAAATTCGTTTCGTTTTTATCTCAGGTGAAAAATGTTAAACACACTAACATTCCGCTTGAACGATCAACAAAGGTGTTAATTAGCGGTCTTCATAAACATGCCATTTTAACTGTTATACAAACAAGTATGTTTACTCAGCTTTAATCTCTTTTGAAAATGATTAGGTGACATAATAAATACATCCGATTTGAATTTTTATCATTAGGCCTGCATCTTTCGAAAATTCTTACTTTCCAACTTCGAGACATCGGGGTCAATTTACATTAATTTTATTTCGACAGGACTATAAAATTTACTCAACTTAACAGAGTATTCGAATCAACCGAGTTCGACTCATCAGAGGTAATTATGCATTGATCAAACAGGAATTTTACCGGGACAGAGAAATTACTTTGACTCATCCGAGTTTTCGACACAATGAGGTTCGACTGTATTCATTAACTACTCTTACAATCAGACAAATGTCAACAATTTTAAGTAAACTGATTGGTCTTCTTCAGAGTTAGAATGACCTACTTCAAGGTTATGTCCTGATCTAAAAATTATTCCAGTTTATGCATATTTAAATAAACTGTAAACACTGACAGGCTCATCAAGCAAAAGATAATTTCTGCATGTATGTAGTTGTTTTTTAAATGGAATCCTTGTCTTTTAACCAATAAAAAAATCCAGCTTGTTGGAAAAATATCAAGAAAATGTTATAAACACTTATTGAAGTGATTACATTTTTACTTCTCAAATTACTTGTTTCAGTGATTTTAAATAGTCTGTGTCTATTTTTGTGAAAATTTTCAATTTTTCAAAGCCAAAATCACTTAAAGATGTGATTCTGAAATCACTTGTATAAGTAGTACCCCTGACTGATTAACAAAATAGACAGTGGAAAATCCATTCCTCACTCATTTTAGCTTAGCCAATCGGATTCAATTACTTCATTGATTCCAGAAATTTGAACTGATTTTTTACATGTTTTGAAAATGGAGCAAAAAAATGGGTAGAAGTTAAGAACGGTATCATGTACTGAATGCAATTCCCGTACTTTCAATGTCGATTTCAGTATACTAGGGGGTATTGTATATTGCTCATACCAAGACTTTCAATAAACAGTACTGGGAGTACATGGAGTATGATGCACCTGTTTGCATCTAATTAATTTAGTCAAAAAGAAATACGTATTAAAAAGTGGTTTTATCATAAATTTTAAAAGGTATTAAAAAAGTTTTTAAGTGAGAAAAAACAACAGAACTACGTTGTTAACAAGTACATGTTTTCCCGGTGTGAAACTTAGTTATGCATCAAAATTCTTCCGAAACGCTAAAAAATATCACTGATACCTTTATCAAGTGTTCATTTCAAAGTATTTTTTTTTTATACAATTTGAAGAAACAAACATGGAATGAACTCTTAAAACTCAATTGTGCTTTGTATATATACACAGATTATATGTATCTGTCTCTGGTCCCATGCTTTGCCATTGTCAAGTCAACATACGGTATTAGGAAAATGTGCTTTTTAAAAACAAATGTAAAGTTCTGAAACATGATATTGCTTTAATTTTTTTATATACTTATGTTGAACATTTCGTATGATGCACTGTCAATGTACCAGTTTAGGTCAGAACATCAAATTTCAAAAGTCTGAAGTTTAATATCCTTTTTATGTCAATCATTGGTATGATTGATGCTCAAATTATTACCATGTCATGATTGCCTTTCTGGTCTTCACTGATGCAGTATTTCTAGTCCTCACTAACACAGTACAGTACAACCTGTGACTTCCTCTTAGTTATGTCCACCCTCTTGTATGGTCACCATCAAATGGTGGCCATTTATTGGGGTATTCAATCTTGAGATGTTGGCCATTTATTGGGGTCATAAAACATAGGTTGATGTTTTATCTAATTATGTTACCTGTTGAAATCAATCAGGGTTGAAGTTTTCAGCTTGTATGTTTCATTAAAATTAACCTGTGCAGGTAAATCAGGTTTCTTCTCAAATTGACATTTCACCTTTTCTTGAAAATGTAGAATAGAATGTTTGTTTTAGTCTTTGTTAATTCATATCATTTGTTGATTTTTCTGTCTTTAAATTTACATATTTTCTTTTTTTTCTAATGTTTTTATTTTTTTATGTTATTATTTTTTATTTGTTTTTTTGCTTCTTATTCTTTTAATTTCTTCTTGGAAAGAATCTTTAGTAGAAATGACAAAAATTCAAATATAAGTTATTGACTAGCATTTGAAAACAAAAGAGAGAATCCTTTAAATGATTATATTTTCAGAAAAAAAAAGGTTATTGTACATGATGTACATGGTATTCTATTGTTCGTTTGCATAATTAAATGAATTATTATTAATTATAACTTATAATCATGCAAATGATATGTTTAAAGGAACCATGAAGCAAGCAATTTAACAAGTCAGTTTATTCACAAATTTAAATTATCAATATGAATGAATATCAATCCTTTTATAATAAATTTTGTTAACAAAGTTGTACAATCTATTATCATGATTATTATTCAGGAAAACTACAAATATCATTATATGGTATAGGAATAAACTATTTTTGTTTATCTTTGATATTTTTCAAATCTCAAAACGAGTTTTACATGAAAAATAACTAAAGAGACTTACAAAGAAATTATTTAAAGAAAAAACTGTCTTGCTTTTTGAAACAATTGTAAACTTATCAAATATGTTATCTTCAGTTTGGCTAATTTTGTCAGTTAACAGGCAAAATTTGTTTCCTGAAAATATAAAGTTCACTTCTATATAGATTGTGATATTTTTATGGTCTATTAATTAAATCACTTTTTGTTCTGTGTATTATATTGTCGAAACAGCAGGACTGGCATATGCATGATACATATTCTTGGTATACATTTGCAAAGAATATTTCACTCAACTCAGGCCTTTTAGATAAAGTTAATAATTGCAGGGACTTGAATGAATTAGATTCTGTAAAGCCCTTGATTAAAAATGATTTAAAAAAAAAAAATAAGAATATTTTTGAAAATAAAATAAAAACTTATGATGAAAACAGTAAACTCAAATGCTTCACTAAGTAAAGAATTAGTGGTCATAATTTAGAAATAGAAAATGGTGAATAAAAATTCCTATAAAGGATAGAATTGTTTGTAAAATTAACATAACAACTTTGAGATAATCTATTTGAAAATTGTTTACCTTCTTATAATAATGTCTCTGTCCAGTTTATGAATAAAATCTTGAATCTTATGAATAAAATCTTAACCAAGAACAAAAAGTAAAAGAAATGCTAAACCTCTATAACATGGAACACGTTTAAAATATTGGCTCCTTTATAAAAGAAAGTCATTAGAACTGAGGGCAGAAACCTAATAACTTTTTTCCATGTGTTTTGATTTCTTATAGAATTGTTATTTCTTTGCATTATAATGTTTGTTTTGGGTTTTTTTTTTTGTCAGAAACTTGATTAAATTGTAATATGTTTATACGACAATAAAAAAATTATCAAATTTTTCTGTAATGAATACTTTGAATATACATGTATTTATTCAATAGAGAAATAATGAATTGCCTAAATTTTATTTAGAATAAGTCCTAAAGATAATCTTAAACATTTGTTAAACAATGTTAAATGCAGTAAGTATAAACAATTTTGATTTTAGAAAATTAATTTGAGAATCACCTTTTCAATGGAAAAAGGCAGGCGTTGTAAAAGTTTGCATTATATTAGAAGATGATATTCATTTATTATTCACTTGCCAAAAAATATATGTAAAAAATAACTTAAATTGATAGAATTATTTAAAAGTTATAACATCAAAACAAACATTTGCAAACAGTCATGAGAAAACTTTTTTACAAAAAAAGTTAGCAAGCTATATGTTCAACTAGTTTTATTATTTCATTTTACTTTAGAATTTTCATGTCATAATCACAGCTATTAAAGTTTGACAAACACAAAAAGTAATATATTTTCCCTGAGACACTTTACCTGTAAGTTATGTAATTTTAACACTTCAATGCTGTCATGATTTCTCTTTATCCTTGACTAGTTTTTGATTAATACCTTGTGTATTAATTAAGCAGCAGGGGGTATAATGATGGACATTTAGGGCCATCATGGTGACCATATTTTTTATGGCCACCATTAATAAGATAATGTCACAGGTAGTACTGTATTTCTGGTTTTCACTAACACAGTATTTCTGGTTTTCACTAACACAGTATTTCTAGTTTTCACTGACACAGTATTTCTGGTCCTCACTGATGCAGTATTTTTAGTCCTCACTAACACAGTATTTCTGGTTTTCACTGACACAGTATTTCTGGTCCTCACTGATACAGTATTTCTGGTCTTCACTGACACAGTATTTCTGGTCCTCACTGACGTAGTATTTCTGGTCTTCACTGATACAGAATTTCTGGTCCTCACTGATACAGTATTTCTGGTCACCACTGACACAGTATTTCTGGTCCTCACTGATGCAGTATTTCTGGTCTTCACTGATACAGAATTTCTGGTCCTCACTGATACAGTATTTCTGGTCTTCACTGATACAGAATTTCTGGTCCTCACTGATACAGTATTTCTGGTCACCACTGACACAGTATTTCTGGTCCTCACTGATACAGTATTTCTGGTCTTCACTGATACAGAATTTCTGGTCCTCACTGATACAGTATTTCTGGTCTTCACTGACACAGTATTTCTGGTCCTCACTGATGCAGTATTTCTGGTCTTCACTGACACAGTATTTCTGGTCTTCACTGACACAGTATATCTGGTCTTCACTGACGCAGAATTTCTGGTCTTCACTGACACAGTATTTCTGGTCCTCACTGATACAGTATTTCTGGTCCTCACTGACGTAGTATTTCTGGTCTTCACTGATGCAGTATTTCTGGTCTTCACTGACACAGTATTTCTGGTCTTCACTGACACAGTATTTCTGGTTTTCACTAACACAGTATTTCTAGTTTTCACTGACGCAGTATTTCTGGTCTTCACTGACACAGTATATCTGGTCTTCACTGACGCAGAATTTCTGGTCTTCACTGACACAGTATTTCTGGTCCTCACTGATACAGTATTTCTGGTCCTCACTGACGCAGTATTTCTGGCCTTCACTGACACAGTATTTCTGGTCTTCACTGACACAGTATTTCTGGTCTTCACTGACACAGTATTTCTGGTCCTCACTGATACAGTATTTCTGGTCCTCACTGACGCAGTATTTCTGGTCTTCACTGACACAGTATTTCTGGTCCTCGCTGACACAGCATTTCTAGTTTTCACTGACACAGTATTTCTGGTCTTCACTGACGCAGTATTTCTGGTCATCACTGACACAGTATTTCTGGCTCCAAGCTGACCAGTCTTTACTATTACTCCTAAATGCCGAGTGCATTGGGGAGAAGCATGCACAAAAAAAAAACACATTATCAGGTCTTTTGCATTGTTTGACCAGTTGAGGGATCAAACCCAGACACCCTCACTTGAGGACAGCATGCAGCATGACTATCCAGGCAGTTAAGTGTAAATTCAAATGTCAAATATTCTTTTATTATTTCATGTATTTCCTGAGGTTAAATTAGTTTTGAGACGATGATATATTTTGTTGATCTAATAAGCAGTTGTCAGTTGAATACATTTGAATAAAGGAGACATTGGTATATGTCAATGAGAATGAACCCAACAATACAAGTTCAACAAAAAGATTTCTTTCAAAAGTATAATTGAAATCCAGGCACTGATTTTAGAGGAGTTGCAGATACAACCTGTTGACAGACACAGGAAAGGACACTTTGATAATTATACACACTATGCTTCACTTATCATTGACATAGATGCCATCCCCCTTTTGTTGCAATCAGTTACAAAGTATTAAAATTTCAGTAATTTGTGATTTTTTCAGAAATAATATTTTTTTCTTTAAATTTTATAATAATTATGACACAGCGACAAAATAGATGACTTCCTTTATTTATGACATCTACGAATCAAAGTAAGTGAGGAACAGCGACCATCGTACTAAATGGAATAATCATGAATTTGCAAAAGGCATAATGTTCGGGTTACAATTTTGTTGTCCAAGTTTTCTTTCCTTACTGTAGAAATTCAATTGTTCCATTAGACATCGAAAATGGAAAACAAAGTCTTGCTTCATTAATTATTCGGAATCAAACAAGAAATGAACATATCACTTTCTATTAGAGATAATCCTGAGAAAGTCTTAAGTATTTTATAATCCGAATCACTCAAGCACTTATCGTTACACTATTTTAACCAAAAAATGAAAAATCACAATGATCAAAAAGATATCTAAATATTGAACTGTTCTGGACTGGTAATGAACGAAGATCAGTAACAAGTAAACTGTTAATCGTAACACCATAATTTTGGTTCAAAATTTGTAACAATTATGGAACGGTTGTCATCTACGCATTGAGTATAAAAAAGATATTGAACAAGCCAACATTGTTATTGATATGCAAATTAAAAAAAGTGAAAAAATATTTCATGGAAACTCAATGCATAGGACAAATGCCATACATGTCTCCTTTATTCAAATGTATTTAACTAACAACTGCTTATTAGATCAACAAAGCAGATCATCGTCTCAAAACAAACCTTGTTATTGGTTAAGTCATATAAGATTTAAACCTCAAAATTTCATTAATAATTTGTCAATATTATAAACTTTGCAGCTACCAAAGTGTTTATGTATACACATACAAAGAACACACTGGTTAGACAATGGAATGCAGATGAAACGTTACGATAACGTGACTTTCCCTCAGACGTTACACATGGATGGATTTGTTTATTCAAAGTCTGCTACAAAAGACAGGAAACAGGGGTTAGTGGGAGGTCGAGATGATTGTGTCTTTAGGTAATATATAATATTACATAAATTAAAAAGTGTTAATGATGGCAAAATTTAAAGTTAACGTATGTTTATTTAAAACTATGTCCAAGTACAAGATTCTGTTGGAACAGACACTATTGCGTAGGTTATGTTGTATTTCATTTAACTTATAACACACTCAAAATATAAAGATAAGAAGATGTGGTATGATTGCCAACGAGAAAACTAACCACGAAAGACCAAATGAAATAGATGTAAGCAATTATATGTCACCATACAGCATTATACTGTACATGTTAACGAAGAAATTTTCTGGCTGATTTTATTCACAATTTGCTGATTGAGTTTTAATTCGCATGTCTTTTTTTCTGCATTCAGATGCCCCAATGTTCTGTTGCCAACCCTAAAACATTTGATTGCTGTGCCCCAAAAAAAAATTCATGGTGGATGTGAAAATGACATGATGTTTAATGTAAATGGTGATCATACTTTAAGAAACATATCAATTTTATTGTATTTAGTATCTTTTATCCACTGAGCACATTCTCATTCTTAACATACACAAATTTCATGTGTCTTCAGCTTCCAAAATCAGTCTGCATCATCTGGTGTGAATTTACTACGAGCCTTGAACTATGATTGTACAACCCAGAGTGGCCTTCACATTCAGAAACCATTGTATAATAGTACAAGTGACATTAACCACAACAGTCCTGAAGGAGCCATGTCTTACAAACTTAGTTCTGTTATCGTCCATCTTGGAGATGTGTTTACTGGACATTTCATCTGTTACCGTAGAAGTCCTCAGACTGTACAAGGAACCAGACAAAATGAACGCTGGCTTTGTTGTTCTGATTCATCCGTTACTCCATGTACCTTAGACGATGTTCTGTCAAGTGAAGCTTATATGTTGCTATATGAGAGATTGTAATTTATAGATGTGGTCCAGCATTTTGTGTTCATACCAAATTCATCGATTTTTTACAAATGCACATTGGTTTTAAACACTGCCTTATTTGTATTTTATGAAGTTTGTTTTTAATCACTACAATCATGAGAAAGACAATTTTAACTGTTTTGTTAAATTTATTACATATATAGTAATACATAATATTAAGAATTCCTTGGAAACTTTCTACCTTGCAAACTTGGGGATCTCCCTTTTAAGAAATTTGTTAAATTGGACATTTAATGTACATTTTCTCCGCATGCAAAGTTTGATAACCTTAACTCTATCATGTATTTAATTCAAATTTCTCATCCTTAAAATATACCATGAAGCTTGTCAAATAGTGGCCTATTCCAACTGTTCATTTCTACCACTTAGATCATAGTTCAGTTGTTAACCGATTAACTTGACTATAGTTATGTTTGCATGGGTTGATTGCTTTTTGTTTAACATGTGTAAAGTTGTGTGCCAGTTACAAATGTGGAAATGTTTTATGTTTCCATTCATAAGTATGGAAAAAAGTTATTTTTTATGTGTGCATATTGCTTTTTGAATGATATTTTTATGTGGGTTATTACACATATCATATTGAATATATCTGCATGATTATAAAAACTCCTGCAGGAAATTGTTTATATATGCTTCAACAAATTTAATATTCTATGGTCATGTATTTTTTCAATATTTCCTCAATATTTTTGTCCCTTTTTGGTTTTTCTTAGTATGTGCATTAAAAAAAATGATAAAATTATACATCTTAAAATTACTTTTAGAAGAAAATATTTGAAAATCTACTTGCTTCTAATATATTCACTTATAAAAATCGTTCTTAACAAGAATTTCAACAGTAAAAAATGTCCTAAATTTAAATGATTTCATTACTTAAATTCAGTTTCGCTGTAAATTTAATTAGATTTTTTACAGTTCTTATATAGACATTTCAGAAGATACTGGTGATTAATATTCATTAATTTTGTCTTGCCAGCAAAGAAACTTGCTTTAAGGATTAGAGTATGCTAATTTTGGTATCTTGTGGCATCAACAATTGATAAAGTGTGTGGCAAGTTCACTCAGACGAGAAGTATTTTAATCTAAAACTATCATTATGCTACCTTCATATACAATGTATAAAAAAATTAATTTGTGTCGTCATTGTTTTCAGTAGAGAATGTTTCAGCCATATATGTTTATAAAATCATGCAAAATATTGTATTAGTTTGTTACATGTGATCATGTTTAACCCCTAAAGGTATTTTATCTTAACTATTCATTGACAGTTGTTGTTGCTTTTGATGAACTTTTAAGTGTTTACTTTATGTGGATTTAATATCCATTGTTGTTAAAGTCCTAAAATAAAATATCTCTATCAGTTTTTATTAGTTCTTATCTTAATACCTTGATCAATAAATGCAATTGTGTACATGTATATATCTATACTATTTGGAGACTGATTTTTCTCTCACCTCTGACCAATGTTGCAGAATACAAGACATATGGATGCTTTGATAGGCAGCAACAGCAGAATAATCTATTTGTATAAAGTTTTACATTTAAGACGGTAGAATGTTGTATATTCCACATTTCTGTTTTTCATATATCTATTGTTGTTGACCTTCATGTGTCAATTACTGCTTAAAAAACTGTAAACTAGATTTGTGTAAGTTCTTCTGGCCCAAAGGTCACATTTCCACCAAACTTTGTCAGAATCAACCTTTAGCTTTCTAGTTAAAAATTATTTTTTATGATCCTGTCTACCAACCAACATAAAGATTGAAAATAAAAAATAGATGAAGGGGTAAATTGCAAGTATTGTAATTGTTATAGATACCATTGATTTTTTTTTTTTGGGGGGAGGGGATTTTGGCTATTTAATTATTTATATAACCATAATAGATAAAAAATAAACTGTAAATCAATAATGATCTGAAGGACAATCAACTAAAGATAAGTCAAGATAGCATAAATCGTCAGGTACTCATAATTGGATTTATTGCCTTTGAATGGTAATATATACTTACTTTTTTAGTGAATATTTGGTAGTGTGAGGAATTGTAGAAAAAAAAATGATCAGCAAAATTACTGAATTTCATGGGTCCGTGATGAGGTCATCTATTCTTGGTGAACAGAATGATTCTAAGGTGAACATGTCCAGCTGATGGAGTGTATTTAATCTTGACCTGATACTCATGGTGACCAACCTTGGAGTTTTGGTGATTTGGTTAGTTTCCCAGTTACTGCAATATGTAGGGAAACATCCATTGATATTATGTATATGGAATGATTGTCACAATATTTCCTGTATCACAGAGTTCATGTATCCTACAACACTTGTTTAAGTTTTTTTGGTCAATGTTGAGTTTTTGTTTAAAATCAGTTTATCAATTTACTGAATTCAGGGTCAGACAAGCCAATAAAGTTTCATGATACATTGATTACGTTCTGTTCTTTTTTTGTCATTATTGCATCAGTTTTTCAGTTACTGTGAGCAATAGGTCAATTATATTTTTGGCATAGAACAATTTCAACATGGTTGCAAATAAAGTTTCATCTGACCTTGACCATATTTTCGTGCATCATTGATCTATACATTAATTGGTTGCGATATCTGTGCTTTCAGCATCAAATAAAGTCATAATCAGTTTAAAGGCATTTCAGATTTAGCCAACCCTATTGTAACTTGGTTTTTGTCAAGCCTGCAACTTTTGTCCCAGAAAGCTTGACATAGGGATAGTGATCAGGTGGTGGCGGCTGCGTTAGCTAACTTCTTAAAAGCTTTATATTTTAGAAGCTAGAAGACCTGGATGCTTCATACTTTGTATATAGATGCCTTATGTTACGAAGTTTCCGTCTGTCATATGTCCATTGTCCTTGACCTCATTTTCATGGTTCAGTGACTACTTGAAAAAAAAGTTAACATTTTTTGTAATGTTAATTTCTTTCTTATTATAAGTAATATGATAACTATATTTAGTATGTTTGTACCTTGCAAGGTCCTCATGCCCGTCAGACAATTTTCATTTGACCTCGACCTCATTTCATGGATCAGTGAACAAGGTTAAGTTTTCGTGGTCAAGTCCATATATCAGATACTATAAGCAGTAGGTCTACTATATTTGGTATATGGAATGATTGTAAGGTGTACATGTCCAACTGGTAGGTGTCATCTGACCTTGACCTCATTTTCATGGTTCAGTGGTCAAAGTTAAGTTTTTGAGTTTTGGTCTTTTTTTCTAATTCTATATGCAATAGGTCAACTATATTTGGTGTATGGAAACACTTTATGATGTACATGTCAGTCTCGCAGGTTTTATTTGACCTTGACCTCATTTTCACGGTTCATTTCTCAGTGTTAAGTTTTGTGTTTTGGTCTGTTTTTCTTCAACTATAAGCAATAGATCAACTATATTTGTTATATTTTGTATATGGCAGGATTGTAAGGTGTATGTGTCTGTCTGGCAGGTATCATCTGACCTTGACCTCATTTTCATAGTTCATTGGTAAATTTTAAGTTTTCATGGTTAAGTTTGTTTCTTAGATACTATAAGCAATAAGTCAACTATATTTAATGCATAAATTGATTGTAAGGTGTACATGTCTGTCTGGCATGGTTCATCTGACCTTGACCTCATTTTCATGGTTCATTGGTCAATGTTAATTTTTCTTGGTTAAGACTGTTTCTTAGAAACTATAAGCAATAGGACAACTATGTTTGGTTTATTGAATCATTGTAAGGTGTACATGTATTTCTCGTTATATATATATATTGTCGATAAAAGACAATTCTTGCATTTCACCAGGACATGTACCAGTATGTTCTATTTTCAACTTTAGCGGCAATGTTGTTTAGTAGGTTGGATCATATGCTTAACAGTAGATACATGAAGGATAATTGTGGCAAAATGTGGTTGCAGTTGATGCAGTAGTTTCAAGAGAGGAGAGATGTGTGTTCATGTGTAAAAAAGGGTCCCCAAGTGATGGCAATAGCTCGTACTGGTTGCAAAACTCAGGCTCACAATGATACCGAAACATAGAAGCAAATAATTTCATGTACTGTTCATCATAATGAAATAAGAACTTTCGTAAACTGATAGAGATATTTTATTTTAGGATTTTAACATTAATGGATATTAATTTTTACTTGGATGGAGACAAAAATATAACAAGGATAATATTTCGTCCACGTTATTTGAAAATCAGGCGACGACACAGCAGTACAAAAACATGTTTACGTTCGTAGTAAAACATAGTACATTCCATTGTCGGTCACCTGTGTCAATTCACGTGCACACCACAATTGTTGTTGTATTTGAATCTTTCGGCCAATGAAATGGGACGTTACAAGTTGTTTGTTTGTGATATGCCAGAATGTTATCAATGAATTATCAAACGCTAAAGAATTTCCCGAATAATGTAGAATAAGAACTAATTCATGATGGGTTGCACATTTCTCTTTTGTTTTCATTCCATCTAATTACTCTCCATCCAAGTAAACCTGGTGGAGCAAATTATTTTCATTTGCAAAGAACCTGTACTTAGGTCTATACCCGTCACTCAATGAGGTTCTTTTTACACAATATTCTTTCATATGTATTTTTTAATTTTAATGAACCAGTTTACAAAATTGATGACACTGAAATGAGATTTGTTTTACTGATTCAGTCAAATAAATTTTTATTAAAAACAACTGGAGATTTTCATCATGTTGACTGTTTTGTAGTTGATAAGTTTCTTCTTGCAGTTTTCTTATTGTGTTAAAAAAGAGAGAGATCTCAATTTCCTGATTATTTTTTTATTACAATTTCCATCTCTCTTCCAAACAATTGATATTAAAAGTTGTAATTCAAGGGCAATAACTCCTACTATGAGATGACAGACAAGTTGTCTGACAGTTTTAGTCAAAATGGACCTAATCAGATTTTGTCTAATCTATACCGGTTTAAATGATAAAAGACAATGCTTGCATTTCACCAGGACATGTACCAGTATGTTCTATTTTCAACTTTAGCGGCAATGTTGTTTAGTAGGTTGGATCATATGCTTAACAGTAGATACATGAAGGATAATTGTGGCAAAATGTGGTTGCAGTTGATGCAGTAGTTTCAAGAGAGGAGAGATGTTTGTTCATGTGTAAAAAGGGTCCCCAAGTGATGGCAATAGCTCGTACTAGTTGCAAAACTCAGGCTCACAATGATACCGAAACATAGAAGCAAATAATTCCATGTACTGTTCATCATAATGAAATAAGAACTTTCATAAACTGATAGAGATATTTTATTTTAGGATTTTAACATTAATGGATATTAATTTTTACTTGGATGGAGACAAAAATATAACAAGGATAATATTTCGTCCACGTTATTTGAAAATCAGGCGACGACACAGCAGTACAAAAACATGTTTACGTTCGTAGTAAAACATAGTACATTCCATTGTCGGTCACCTGTGTCAATTCACGTGCACACCACAATTGTTGTTGTATTTGAATCTTTCGGCCAATGAAATGGGACGTTACAAGTTGTTTGTTTGTGATATGCCAGAATGTTATCAATGAATTATCAAACGCTAAAGAATTTCCCGAAATAATGTAGAATAAGAACTAATTCATGATGGGTTGCACATTTCTCTTTTGTTTTCATTCCATCTAATTACTCTCCATCCAAGTAAACCCGGTGGAGCAAATCATTTTCTTTTGCAAAGAACCTGTACTTAGGTCTATACCCGTCACTCAATGAGGTTCTTTTTACACAATATTCTTTCATATGTATTTTTTAGTTTTAATGAACCAGTTTACAAAATTGATGACACTGAAATGAGATTTTATTTTACTGATTCAGTCAAATAAATTTTTATTAAAAACAACTGGAGATTTTCATCATGTTGACTATTTTGTAGTTGATAAGTTTCTTCTTGCAGTTTTCTTATTGTGTTAAAAAAGAGAGAGATCTCAATTTAAACGGATAAATACATGGCCAACTTTTAAATTTCGTTGACACAGACGGGATACAATTATATCCTACTTTATTGTCCTGACAATGTCGTAGTTACATGTAATAAAGATCTCATAATAAGAACTAATTCATGATGGGTTGCACATTTCTCTTTTGTTTTCATTCCATGAAACTAACGCACAGTAGGTAAGCGTTTGGGCATTCAGAAATAACGTATCACAAACTAATCAAACTGTCCAACTCATTCACCAAAAGATAAAAACAACGATAATCGTATTGTGCAAGACGAAGAACAAAATTGACGAACTTTGGAATGTACTGTCATGGTGTATACGAAAATAAAATGAAATAAAGGCACGTTTGTATAAAAAAGGGTTGAAATGTTACACCAGAAAAATATATACACGTGAATATATGTCTCTGT